TGCTGCTGCTGCTGCTCGGAGGGATGCTGGGCGAAGTATGAGATGCCGGTGTTGCTCGACAAATCAGAAGCGTCTAACAACGTCTGCAGATACCCTCCGGGGATCAGGGGTACATTGGTGGTGATATTAGCAGATGGCAGAGGCTTGTCTGAAGAGGAGGTGGATGGTAAGAAAGGAGAATTTTTAGCAACCTTATCCTCATGGCACTCCGGGAGATGGGAGCTGTCTGAAGCACAAGGAGCGTTTTCGTCCTTCAGCCGCGCTGCAGAGTCCTGGTTTTCAAGCGCCGGGGAGCCCTCCGCCGTGCTGGTGGCAGCTTTGATCTTCTTGCACTTCAACCTGGCTTCACTTTTGAATTTGATTCTGCGGAGCACTTTCCTCTCCGTCCCCTTGTGCTCCCGTTCCTGCGATTTGCATTTCACGGCGGCAATGCCCGTGATGTCATTTACGTGTAATCCGTTGGCACAGCTGGGGGTGGCGATGGCTAACGCCGGCAGCCCTTTCAGGCCCGCGTCCTCTTTGCTGCTGCAAGGCTGCTTGTGATCGGAGGAGCAAGAGCCTAGCTTGTTCACTGATTGCTCGATGGCTTTAATTCTTTGAATCCGGTGCCTGTTTGCTAGCTTGCATTTTCGCTTCCGTGGGTGAGGGAGGAACGAAGCATCTGAGCCGTTAAGATAGAAATTCTGCTTGTGGTAGAGAGACGATCTGAGCAAATCCAGCCGGCTCTGCTGCCTCTCTTGCCAGAAGCCCTTCAGTGGGGCCAGCTTCTCGTATTTGCTGAGCAGCTCCTCGTTTAGGGTAACAGTTGTCTCGTTGGCATCCACTTTGCTCAGCTTCACCAGCATATGTTTCTCCCCTTTAAACCTGTTAATGATGATGTACTTGATGATAACGGGGGGCTCCTTGCGAGAGACTTTTCGCCGCTTCTTGGGGCACCACTCGTCATCATCCTCTTCCTTGGGCCCGTCTGGGAGCCACTCCTTCTTGTCCAGGATCTTCTCATTCTCGATGGAGTCCACATCGTACAGATAGTCATCGCTGTATCGCACTTTCCTCTTCGCCCGCAACCCGTAGTTCTGCTGAATGAAGGAGCCGGAGTGGTCCCGGGACAGGTACCGGCTGCAGTCCTTGATATCCCGCAGCACGTCGTAGGAGGACTCTGTGCAAGTGCTGTCGTCGCTGAACTCCCCGGAGTCCTCCGTGGAATTCACCGAGTCCAAGAAGTGGCTCCTCTTGGAGCCCACGTACTGCACCATCTCCGTGCTGTTGCAAGATTTATTTAAGGCAGCTTTCTCCTCCTCCTCACCATCCTCTTCCTCGCCATCCTCCTCCTCCTCCCCCCAGATGATGCCTTCCTCGGATTTGAACTGAGAAGGGTCGGTGGCACTGCCAGGCCCCCTTTTCAGGGTGCTCCTGCTGTCCCTTTTGGTGCAGTT